AATGAGATACTGTGGAATTTGGTTTCATGTGTAATGCTCAAGACAAATGTCAGGTTTGCATTTTTCCTTTTGCTCCTCTACACAGACCTAAGTATTCAAATCATACCAAGACCCAGAAGCTGAAATGTATCTGGCAGTATTTTCAAAAGAGTTCAGAACTGAGAAACTCCCGTTTAAGTAGCTAAATGATTTGTTTGGTTTTCCAATCTCTCAACTTGTGTTCAGTTACTCTGGTATTTTGGAGAGCTGGTTGTGTGGGATTATCTCCTATCATTACTCGCAGTGTTTTATCGTGTAGGTAATTTGCACAGAGGCTCAGCATGCTGGAAGGAAATTGCCAGATTTTGAAAAGTGTTCAGAATCCAAATATTGCCTGAGAGAATAATAGGAGGATTAAAACCAACAGAAAAAAATGGAACTTTCGCGCTTTTTTTTTAGTTGTGTAAGCAAGAGCAGTATACATTTTAAAGTGTAGTTTTTATGGTTTATACCAAAGGCTTTAGAAAATCTGCCCTGCTGATGGTAAACCTGAGCTTGATTACAATCTCATATGCAAGGGAAAAAGGCTTTTTGGAAGTAATGTAATTTGTCTTGCATTACTGCCCTGCCTTGAGCATTATGCTACAAAAAAGCAAGTCTGAGGCCAAGGCAATGGATGTTGTTCTTGTGGCTTCTATTACCACTCACCGAGCTATTGGTCACAATTTTGCACAGCAAACTGTGCACATGTGCCTACTGGCAAGCATGTCTAATACATTCCCTTGCTCAGACGCTTAAAAGTCTTTGTGCCTTCCTAGGAAAGGAAAAGAAAGGGGAAAAAAACAACCACTCATGGAATTTCAGCTGAAAGCTTGTAGTTGTGTGATAATATTTTGCAGGTTTCCTGTTTAATTTGTTCAATGTGTTGAGCTTCCATGCAGATTAACTATACAATCAAACGCTGAGGGTGAGGAGATTACTGTGCTTTGCCAAACTCACCGAAGTCCAGGGAGAAGAAGTTATCTCTAGTCATACGTTATCATTGAGTCTTTTGCAGAGAGAATATGAAAATGTGTGTTCCTTATCTGCAGTGATACTATGCAGGCCAGCAGACATACATTTCTGAAAAAAAATGATAACAAAATGACACAAGCCATCTTAATAAGCAGAGAGCTAACACCTTGCATGCTTTTTGCCTGTTAAACCCTTCCAACAGTGCAGGACTTTTGCTGGCACAAGTGCTCCGCCGCTTTGCAAGGGCTCGTCACAGCGTGACAGCCCTCTCCCGCTGTTATCACCCCTGTTGCTTTCTGAGAGGGTCTGTCCAACCAGGGGGGGTCTGTGGGTCACAGAGAGAGGTCCTGACCAGGGAGTGTGAAATGCTTGGCGTTAAACGTGGGTGCCTTTGTGTGTGTCTGGTCGACTCTTAAAACGAGAGGCCCTCCCAGGTTTTGGCACAAGGAGTACGGATAAAGTAGATCCCACTTGAACTTTCAGTTCAAGCAGCGCCGCTTTCAGGGTGCTTCCATGCTTGTTTCTGCTGTTTCTCTTTGGGATTTGTCTGTTTTCTTTGCTACCTGGCCCTCGTCATCCTGTGATGGATGGCACGTGTACCGGAGCTGCCCAAAACGCGACTGACCCATGGCAAACGCTGCGAGAGCCCCTTCCATCTTTGCAACACGTTTTGACCGAGCCGTCCCATCCCAGCCGGCACCTCGGCCTCCATCCACGCATGGGAGGTGCAGAAGCTGTTCCTCTTGTCCATTCTCCCTCGTTCTGCCAGTGCAGGGATCTGTGCAGCCTGGCGGGTGCGGCGAGGAGCGGCAGAAGGGAGCCAGGCTGGCGGGAGGTGCCCCGGGGACAGAGGGAGAAGGGGCGGAGAGGCGAGGGGAGGGAGATGACAGGGGGAGCGATGTCTAGTTATCCTTGCAAGTGTTTTCGCCTCCTTTCAAGGCATTTTTACCCCTCGGACGAGGTCCTGTCTTACCAGCACCAGAGGAGTTGGCACAGATGGTGATGAAAGTCAACTGCCTTTTGCAGCAGCAGCAGCTGTAGCTGGTCTCCATCCAAGCGCACAATGGTGTAGTTTTATCAGCACAAGCGTTCTCATACGCCTGGCAGGTCCGATTAACTTTGGCAAAACTGTGGCTGAAAGGAAACAAACATAGTTTAAATGAAAAGGAGGAAAAAAAAAAAAAAAAAAGAAGAAACGATCTCTTTTCTGTAATGTCTGTGAACAGCTTTTATTGCTTTCCCTGGAGAGCCTGCATGCTTGGACAGCGAGTTACTGTGAATTAGTGAGGGTCACTGCCATTGATTAAATCCTCTTTTATGTTTCCTGGTAACTCCTGAATTATGGCAAGAGTTGAGCATATTAATTTAACACTTTTTTTTTTCGTTGACAGTTCTGATGGAGGAAAAAATCTGCAAGTCATTTTGTGCAGATAATCTTGAATTAAAATAAAATTCAGGAACAAAATGGCACCTCCCTTTTATTCCCAGTTTCACACTGCTACATTGACAGGAGAATCAATAACCAGCTGAAGTCTCAAGACAAAAATTTTGTTGCTTGCAATTGTGGTTATTCTCTTAATTTATGCAAGCTATGTACTAAGACTAATAAGTGAAATACGTTAAAATAAGGAATGTTGCCTTTTTATTTCACACTTCTGCATCTCATTTTCTTACGTAATGACAAAGGACTATAACCTTAACTCTTTAATGACAGAGTGAAACTATAAACACAAACCTCAGTAGTAAGGCTGTTAATCAATGCTAATTATTTTTGTTGGAAAATTAAAATATTGGTATTTTTCAAAAATTCTTTATCTCTTTTGGGTAAATGCCTGAATATTTATACATGTGTGCTTATGTAAATGTATGTGTATATACAAACACACACACACTCTTGTAAAAGTATATATATTTTAACATATTGGTTTCAGAATGGTGTGTGGGCATTTGTTTTTCAGAAAGCAAAAATTGTTTTAGTAGCATTCTGGGAACGTGCTGGATTTTCCCAAATTATGCTGGGGGGGGAGGGTGGGAAATGGAAACTAACATATGAGGAGACATTTTTAAGGAGATTTCTCTCTGGTCATGAAATCCTGGGCCTTACCTGATCCGTCCCAGTGTAACCCTGACATGTGTGCCTATCCCGTGTGTAAAAGCTCCACGGACACCCTCCTCAGAGAAGGTCTGCCTCTCAGATGCTTTGCTGATGTCTAGCCTAAGACTTCCTGCCAGGGACTTGTCTTCCACACCAGCAGAGACACGTGGAAGAAGTTGTCACCTTCTTCTTGATCAGAAGTCTTTTGATTATTGAAGGCTGCTCTGTCCCTATCCTGTCTTCTGCTGGTGGCCCAGCAGATGCCACCTCGTTTGCTTTTCCATTGCAGACCACATTCTCCCAACTGCCGTGGCTTATGCTACTATTCTGTGTGCTAGGTTTCCAGGAAAATCAGACTTTCCATGGTTTGCCTGGGCTTTCCTGGGATCAGGAAGGTTGCCTCACGTGTGGGACAGGTCATGCTGCTCTCTGCAGCAGGCAGCTACCTATCGGACATGTGTGTATCCAGTTCTTTATACACACCTCTCATAATTATGGCAGTGCTGCTTAGTTTTTGTCTGATTGGGATAATAATTAAGGGCAATTGACATCAGCAGGTCTCCACAAACACATGAGCAACAGATATCAAAATACAGTCAAGCGTGTTCCAGGCTGTTAAAACAATTTTCTTGTACAGGACCGTATTGGAGACCTGTTGGTGTCCTGATGAACACTCCTAATCTGCATGTTGTGGATAGTCACTTGGCCATGCTGGCCATTTGTTTCCTTGGACAATATTGCAGCAGTTCAAGAAACAGATCATGCTGCAGCTAGAGGTGCTGCATGGGAGTGCTGGCTCCCCAGAGGTACAGACCAGCAACGGGGCACAGCTGAGCCAGGATGGACTCACATGCTGTCACCCATCCGCTGACCAGCTGTAGCTCTCTGTAGTAGCCCTCCCCGATTGTGTGGTAACGGCATAATCGTAAGCCCCAGAGGAAGGAAGGTTAAACTAGGAGTTTTGACTCAATACTGGAGCACGGTAGAGACTGGTTTGCACCTAACCCATGGGATGAAATGAAGTGCTGTGTCTCACAGAGGAACTGCACCCTCTTGTGAAGCCTGCACTCAAAGATCAGTACTGGTTGTGAAATACTAGAGGTCTTTAACTTAGAAAGCCCTAAGTGGTTTGGGATTTACCCACACAAGAAACACTGTTGCTACAACACAGTAGAAATTGAGATGCATCAGCTGGAGCCCTTCAGTGTGTGGGAGCTATTGGCTGAGCATTATCAATGCAGTGTCCCCTTCTGGGTCCAAAATACCCTTAATTGATATTGATTCTCTTGATGGGCTTCCAAGCCTGTCATCTCTTGCCTCAGGGAAAGGATATGGCCAAGCTGAGGTTTGAGGTAGGTGTATTACGTGGGTTATAGTGTTCGGCTGGAGCAAAAGCCTTTCCCTCAGATTAGGGAAACTATCGAGCTTAAATTTATGTTTTCAGCTCCCTGTCGCATCAGTTGCACCTGGAGCCTTTGCATAGCCACTGGTTCATAGCAGTCAAAATGAATAAAGCAGCAAGACACCCTCCCTTTCCCTTTTTGTATTACCTACCAAGTCTGCCTACCTCAGCGTGCTGCCTTGTGTCTAGGTGCACACGATCACTTAAGTGTTGCTGGTGCTTTATACTGTATTCTGAAACAGCACTTTAGTTCTTGCTAAGGCCGCGTATGGCTTGCAGGTTGTAAGACCCATGTAGGAGGACTCCAAAGGCCCCAAATAGGTTGTCATTATGCTTTAAAGATGATACACACAACACACAAATGATCCTTATTTTTCAGGTTTTGGTATAGAAGCATTGCTAGTCTGGTTGGGGTGTTGCTCTGTGTGGCTTGCCTAGCTCAACTCGAGTTAGCACTGTTTTCCCTTCTGAGAATGGCCTAATCACCATCACATTCTTTTATTTCTTTAGCGGTGCCTCCCAAATTGAAGGAAATGAAAAACCAAGAGGCTGCTGTGGGTCAGAAGCTAGTGCTAAGGTGTGAAACCACTTCAGAGTACCCTGCGCTCAGATTCAAATGGTTGAAGAATGGAAAGGAAATAACCAAAAAAAACAGACCGGAAAATATCAAGATCCCAAAAAAACAAAAGTAAGTACAGAGACATTTCTCACAAGCGAGGCTGGGAGGGATGGGGAGAGCTGTTCACCAGAACACAAGCATTGAGGTAATTAATTGCAGTATCAGAAAGCTAAAAGCTGTGAGTTACAGAGGAAGAAAATTTAAGGAAACAGACACTGACATCGTTTTTCTTGAATGTATGAGTGCAGTGATAGTATAGTATAAATATTTCATAAATAATTTCCCCTTTTCAATTTCTATTTATTTTCTGATAGCCAAAGGCTATAATTTTAACCAGCAAACCTTGGAGACAGGCCATTTTTAAACTACTGACAAGAACAGAAGTACCTTATGTTTATTGTCTAAAATCCAAGAACATTTTAAATCATCAAATCAATGTAGATGTGGAAATATTTTTGAGATGTGCTTTGCAAGCAATCTAGTCTTTAAGAAGGGCTGAATGCTGCCTGCATGAGCTTTGAATGCCTTATGCAAGCTTGCAGTAGTTCTTTGCCAGAGGCATTCCAGCACATGCAGAACAAGGCAGGGATCTAGCAGATGTCAGATGACTAGCAAAGCCTGCAAATCTCATCCTCCTGGCTAGGGGAGAGTGTCCCCTACATGTGACTGACAGCCAATGCCAAAAGATGGTCTGGTGCCTTGTTTCTGGGTGGAAGGACAAGAAGCTACACAATGTGTTCTCTCTCTGCATTGAGACATGAGAAGGCTTTTGCTGTTAGGTCTCCAGATCGTTTTTTAGATTAAAAAGTTTCAATTGTGGCCACTCATCAATCAAAGGAAGCTATGAAAATCTGTTTGCATGCAGCCCTTCAGCTCTGACTTCTCCTCAGTAGGCAACGCTGCTCTCTGCTTCACTGGGCCATGCCTTCTCTTAGTACAAGGCACAGAAGATTTGGGGTGGGCTCTGCAAGAGATCTTTCCTTCCAGGATGTCAAGTGCTCCTGTACTTTTTGTCAGGTCTCGTCTCATTAGGCAGAACAACATCCAAAATTAAACAAGCACTTGACCTTTCAGAGCTATTCTGGTTGAAAAACAGAAGTCTTGTCCTTACGGTTTCTTGCTCTCCAGCCTGGGGCATAAGGTGAAACCAGGAGGGGGGCAGAGCAGCATCACTGCCACCCCCATGCCACGGTCACGGAGACAGCGAGAAGGAACCTATGATGTCTCCTTTCAGTGTTTGCGAAATGGAGCTGTTCCAGGTGGCAGATAGCCTGGCAAATTGTCTGGACCCATTTGTGGGGCCATATGTCTCCATCAGAATTGTATTTTCAGGCTATTCTGTAAAGACAATGTTCAGGTCAGAGCCCGGCCCTCAGCTTCCCCAGCAACACAGTGCTGCCCGTGAGGAGCAAACAGTGTTTTCTCCTCTTATGTTTTGGCTTATGCTGATTGACCAAACTCACTGGAGCCAGGATTTCACCTTCTGGGGCTCGGCTTTGTCAGTTCAGCATTGAATCATTAACCACCTTCTGCCAGCTCCCTTCTTTCTCTTTTTTTTTTCCCCACAAAACTCTGAGACAGTGGCAGAAGGGAAACTAGCTAATAGCTATTGATTAGAGCACGCATGTGGAATGTGTGAGACTATTTTTCAGATTGATGTGCCAAAACATGTTTAAAATTACCTAAAAGACCAATAATGAAAAACATTAAAATCGGGGCTTTTTCTGGAAAATGGAAATCTGAAGTACTCTTCCCCCACTGTAAGTGGGCAGAGTGTAGGCTTTGACCTGGATTTCACACTCCTGTGTGCTACTCAGCCACGAGGGCGTCACTCATCACTGGAATTTCTCTTTCCTGTTTTCCATTTTAAAACAGAAATGTTGGTGTGGAATAGAAGAGACTTGCCAGTTAGAGATGTGAACATCACTAGATGTAGAGTGCAAAAATGGGAAGGACAAGGAGTGTCTGCTGACATCTGAAGGATTTTCCTTGCCTTTCTACTTTGAGATTTTATTTTGGGAACACATCAGTGCTTTGCTATTTCTTCTTTTGCTGTTTATTTATGCTTCCAGGACTAAGTAGATGTGAACAGCTTAAAAGGAGATAGATTTTATTTTGGTAAAAAGTGGGACAGGCATGTGTTACAAAGCTAAAGGAAAGTGAGGAAAAATGCAGTGCAAATGAATGCATAAAAAGATATGCAGATTACAGTAAACAAAGCCATATTAAAAAGATCCCATTGCAAATGAAAGGAGTATCAATGATCAAGGAGGTTTTTTTTCCTGCTTATTTTCTAGGTTTCTTTCATGACAGCACATTGATAAATGTTAGTCATGCTCATATGCTGCCATATTGTTACAACAAGCATTTTAGTGTGAATTCTTACTGTTACCAAGTAGGGGAAACATAACTAGGAAGGCTAGATGTTATTAAGCTGTCTGGAATTAATGTCTATTTTAAAGGTCAAATGGCTACATAAAAAGTAGGCTATGTTTCTGAAGAACCATTAGCATGCAGGGTACTACAGTCTTATTGACTCCTTCAATCCTAACACTTGAGAATAACATTTTCTACGTATTTATGAAAACCTCACAAAGTTTTAAGTAGTGCCCAATGACCAGAAGTGACTTTACTTTTGGTAAAGTCGTTTTTTGCAAGAAATCACCTTTCTCATTGTGTGATGGCAGAAAAAAACCTGTTCATTGTTGGGAGAAAAATAAATGTTTCTGAGTCCTGGCTATTTAGCTTTAGGTTTTTTAAATTACAAAAATATCTGGCAGAATGATGAAGTGTCTAGCTCAGAAATCGAAAACAAACACCTTAGCTTGTCACCTGAAGCAGGCGTGGAAAAGATAATATAATACTGCAGATTGGTGTTTATTGAGTGCATTTGGCCAGTGTGAATACTACTGGTTCAAAGAATTTGCAGAAGTAGGGCAGAGCTGACTGTGTTTTCTTGGGTTTTTAAGTTTAGAAGACTCTGTAGCAGTGCAGGCTTCCTCAAAGCTTAGCCTTCTGAAAACTGCCTTGCATGTAAAATGAACTCAGGGGGATCACTCTTCTAAGCTCGCTAGGATGATTTCTGGGTGGTTATTTCAGAGGGTGCAGAGCCCCGACATGCGATGACATGACAGTACAGCAGGTGAATCACACTACATGACTGTGCCTCTTCTCGTTATGCTGGGAAGTCAAGAGAAAGTGAATGAGTTTAAATTTTAATGAAAGGCATTTGAAGCACTCACTTTTTACCTCAAATTTGTCATGGAGTAAGAGCAGGCAGTCAGTGAGTTTCTGCTGCTTTTGTGATTGCTGATGATTCATGATGCCATGATTGATTGATTTTTGTGTCCAAGATCTAAGCTATTCCTTTGTGTCAATGGAGATACAGAGAAAATCAGGCATCAGACAAGGGCTTTTCACCTGCTGACTAACTTTCCCATGCCTGTCTGCTTATACTTGTATCATTGCATTTTCCTTTTCTGATTTAAAACCCAGCTGAAGCCTGCGTGTTTTTGTTTTTGGTAGTGTGCTGTACAGAGTCAGACTCTTCAGTACACAAAGAGAAAATCCTTTATCAGGGTTGGGTTTTTTTGGGCAGAGGGAAGGTGTTTGCCACTTTGCCTAGCTAATGGCTTTGGATGCAGTAGTGCATGAGAAAACTTTGTGTGCAAGTGCCCTGTACCTTGGGCTTCATCCAAGCTTAGCCTGGATGTTTGCCCGCAGACAGGCAATTCTGGATGACAGATGGAGGCTGGAAGCAGAATGAATTCAAGCAGTCAGATAAGGTGGGCTGGGACTGCGTTTTGCGGATGTATTTCTTTCCCTCTCATGTATGAATACAAGCTCAGCAGTGTCATAGTGGCGATGAGCTAAAGATATAGCAGAAGTAAATCTTAGAGGAAAAGACATTTGTTGGTGTAGCATGGTATAGATTGAGAAAAAGACAAGCATTTGAATACAAAATCCCTTATCTGGGGCTTTAAGTGAATATTGTTGGAGTACTGTTTTGCTAGGGAGCTGCTTCATTTACAGACATTAATAAGTCAGCTTCTGCTCTGAGTGTTTTGAATTCTGTCCTGATATGTCTTGATAATATTCTTAAAGCTATAAATATTCATATTATTTTTCCTGCTCTCAGAGAGAAAACTCCTTTGGCTCGTTAGAAGTAGATTTGTAATAAATATGATTGCTTCACCTATTTTAACATAATCTTTAAATCATTAAGGAGGACACAATTCCTCACATTTTCCCATAGTTACCGTGTAAAAGAAAGAGAATAAAAATAAACATGAGGGCAGAGTTTCTTCTAAAAGCCAGGAGTGCCACAAAGGTGGTTTGCATCAATATTGCTTGGTATCATACAGAGAGAAAAAGAGACTGCAGCAGACATACAGTGAGAGCCCAAATAAAAGTGATATAGCTGCCACTGTGTTTCTGGCTTATCATTGGGTTAAAGCAAGTTCCTCAAAAACTGAGCCTGCTTACAGTGCCTTTGGAAGCACCCTGAGGCTGTAAGCCTGCTCTCCATATAGACAATTTTTGTTGTGGTATAAGTATAGCTGTTAGTCAGGTGCAGAATTCCCACCCAAAGAGACAGTAGCTTTCACCTCCAGGACACTTCTGTCAGTGTCTCAACCACGTTTGTCTCACATATTCATGGTTGTCACCAGATAGAGTCTGTTCTTGTATGCCATCTGAAATGCAATCTAATTAATTAATTAGGCATTGGGAACTGAGCTCCTAACTTGTCTGAGAAGGGAGTCCTAATAGTTGGCTTGGCTAATCCTAGCTTGGCTGCTCCTGCTTCTTGCAAGCCCACTGGCCTGAAGAGAGCAGCCCTCTTTCATGACATGAGGGGAAACTCTTGTAATAGGGATTTCTGCCAGAGCTGTGGTCCACCTAGTACACTGCTCTCATCCCATGAGGGCAACAGTGCTGACTCTTCAATGGCAGGACGTTCGTGTAGAGACAGGGAAGGCTGAGCTGCTGATAAGCAGATGTTTGATAGCAGATGAGATAGTTTACTGTGCAGGAGGGAGGGATGGCTGACAAGGATGGGTTGGAAAGTGTCATTGAACATTTTGGTTCCTCTAGAAGCCCCCTTGCTACAACAGGCTTGTTTTTAATCTGATCCCAGCCCTGGTCAATGATTCCCAGAACAGGTAACCGGTTGTGATTTCTGCACAGAGAGTTAGGAGACATGTCTGTGCTGAAGCAAAGCAATTCCCCAAAGATTGCTTAGCTCAGCACTCATCACTAGACATGCTGGTGACTGTGAGCTTTTAGAGTGAAGAACTCCTGCCTACTGGGGATTAGTCCTTCAAGTTGGCTTAGGCCAGTTTAGGGAGGCCAATGCTCTTGCACTCTACTAAGTGACTATTCTGTAGATAAATGAGCAAGCTTTACTACAGGCAAAAACTCCCTCAAAGCACTTATTTTAAACAGAAACTAGGAACAGCAATAATGTGTGTATTTTCCCCAAGCTAGTAATTCTCCACGGTATAGGTAATGGGATTATTGCCATCACATGAGTTGGGGACCCCTTGAATGACACCAGAACATGTTCCTACCGAATTAATGGGTAGGCAGGAGTTCTGCATTTTAAAATCTAATCTTAAAACCTTGGAGACTGATTAAATTATGTCTCTGAGCCAGGAACAAAATGTAGCTTCATGCAAATTGTGCTCCTGCCCATAATTTTTTGTTAGCACTGGAGAGTGATTTACTATTGGAGTTTCAGGGGTTGTTAAAGAGAGTGGTGCATCCTAATCTCATGATTATTTAGTCAGATATTGGAAACTACAGTACTTACCCAGAACTCTGCTACTGGCAATATGAACCTGTAGGAAAGGGTAATCTGTTTTAATATTACACCCATCTCTGTGGCATCTGGATAGCCAACAATTCAGCCGAGAGAGGAAGGTTGTTTTTCAGATTTCCTTTAAGAAAAAGACTCCTCTCAAACAGAAAAGCATGAACAAGTACCTTTGTTTGAGTTCATTAATATGCCGGTTTTCCAGCAGCCTGTAAGAGAGATATTTTTTTATTTTTCTCCCTTCTTTCAAACCTAGATAGTGTTAATCTGTCTGTAAGAATGGAAGACAAGACTCTTTGTTGAGAGGTAAAAAAAGAGGGCATTAGTTGATGCAGTGACTGTTGCTCCAAGTACAGGATGTTTACATGTTTTTTCTGATTTCACAGGAAATACTCTGAGCTTCACATTTACAGAGCCACGTTGGCTGACGCTGGGGAATACGCATGCAGAGTGAGCAGCAAACTAGGGAATGACAGTACTAAAGCCAGTGTTATCATCACGGACACCAATGGTAAGGCATGGCTCTTTATTTTACTGTCACGTTCAGAAAGACCATGTGTTAAAGCTACCATCAGGACAAAAAGGTTTGGAGGAGTGGAAAGCTTTGCAAGTGAAGTGGAATTGAAAACAGTGATATCTGTTAGGTGTTCTGAGAAAATTAATGAGGCCTGACTTGTCTGCCATGTAGTTAAGATGTCCAGTTTTCCTTACCCAGACAAGTGGGATGCTTCCTATGGGTCTCGGGAGAGATTGGCATTTTCCATGAGACACTTTCCAGCACTGGGTCTAAGACACACTATGGTCCTGTGGGGAAGCTTCCTTTTAACTTAAAACATGTCCTAGTCTAAACTTCTAAACTAGCGCTCTGATTGCCACCATTTTTACTTTCATAGATGTTGATAGGTTTTTCTTTTGATTTCTAAGATCATAAAGACAAAGACATGAATGTATTTGAAGGCATATTGTTCAAAGGCACGAATGTAATTCAGGTAGTTTAATTCAGGTAGTGTGATTTAAACTCACTTCTTGTGGAGCAGAGCTTCTTATGAGCCAGATAGTATTCAGACTTACCCAAGTGATCTAAAATTATTATAGATTTCTATTTTTGCAGGGCTCCTTTCCATTTCATTTACTGGAAATTCCAGTTGCTTCTGACAGAATTTTGTGGATGTTTCCATTGTACACAAATGTTTTAGCAATACTGTTGCTCCTTGTAAGTGCATTAGAAGCTGCACTTCAGCTGAAATCTTGTTTCTTAAGTGTGACATTGACTAATTCAGCTCCAATAATTCAAACTCCAGTGTCCAGCCAGGTGTGAAGTATGTAAGGAACATGCCCTCATTAGCAAACAAAACAGAAGTTCAGTGCATATCTGAGACAGGTTTAAAGATGTTGTTTCAATGGGAATTTACCAGGGATGCTTTTCTGTTCCACATTGTGCTCTGAAACAGGAGATAGGTATTTAAATAAATAGAAAAACAAATGTAAACCTTTGCCAGTGGGATTTATCTTTGGCTATCTGCTGTTTTGTGGTCACATGGTGATTGCTTGACTGTATTCACGTTGGGTATTTGCTATTCTGTTTCATCAACTGAAGAATCCCAAGTGCTAAAATTTCATACTAGCTGTATGGTATTATAATCATCATCAGATGTCAGGAGACTGATGTAAAAGATCAAGTGTTATTTGCCAGAATGTTATTAGGAGGAAAAATGGGTAGGTGTTTCTGTGTAGCTTTGTAAATGCTCTTGGTTTCCATGAATACAAATTTTGGTTGCTCATTAGCTGCTTACATGGAAAGCTGCTATACTGTTTCCAAGATACAGGGGTTTCCAAAACTCAGCTGTAGGAATTGTGCCTGGGCAATGATAAAGATAAATGCAAAAAAAAACCCAACCTTGGGCACCCTCTGTTACTTTCTCAGACAAGGAATGGTGACATGTCTAGGGGATGCATGTGGGAGTTCATTCCTGTGCTTCATGACATGGGTTTTTCAACTTCCTTTGAGCTGTGCTGAATGATGGCAAAACACTCCTGCTGCAGGGAGATGAGGGCTTGGTTTTGAATGAAAATGTTTGCAGGCAAGCCCTGTTGTGTGCATTTGTAACTGATATGTTAGAGTCTGTCTAATCTTGTTGTGAAATGTCAGTTGTTTAAAACATAGTCGTGCATGCAGACTCCTGTGAATGTGAGCAAACTTGAATCCAGTCTAAACCTGGCAGCTGGCTCTCATTTGTAAAGATCTGAACTGGAAACTCAGTGATATCTGAACTGGAACATCTTAGTGATATTTGATAATCTAGAATCAGGCATGGCAGCGTTCATTGAGAGAATAAATCGATTGTGCATATTTGGTTGCCACACGTACATCTGAGCTCCATCTACATATTGTTGCTTATAAATTACCAGTAAAATTGTTCCTAATTTTCTTCCTAATGATGGAATTTTCCACCTGGATTTGAGGAACAGCATGGGCAACATCTGGTGACTTAAGAGGAACGGATCCCTAAAGTCTCAGAGGGCAACATCTGCTTTGCAAACAGGGACAGACCCCCTGCGCAGGTGACCTCTTCACCCCTTCTTCCCCCGCATTCCCTGACCTCTTCCCCTTGCTAGCTTAATGACAGATTTGGGATCCAAACTCGGTAATGAGCCCTGAAAGGCAGTCATTACTCAGGTCCTACATATCTGTGTGGTCCTGCAGTATTCATGAGGAAGAGAGAGTTAGAAAAAAAAATAAATAACCACAAAAAAAAAAAAAAGCAGCATATTTAGCTCAATAATTATTTCAAATGTTATTTCCTGCCACTGAGCTTTTGGAGAAGACTGTGGGGTCCAGTGCAGCCCAGAAACCTCTGTAGAAAACTAGTGTGTGGATATCTCAGATGGCTGAACCTCTCAGGGTGGGCAGAGAGGCGGCTTCCTTCCACCTCCAGCAGACAGGGCGACAGTGGGGAAAGAAGTTTGCATCAGAGGGCCTGACTTTCTTGTGGTCATACTGACCTGCTCTGCTATGTGAAGCATAACTTTAATTATGACCTTTAATTTAATGACCTCACCTGGTCATGTTTGTTACGTGTGCCCTGCTCTCTGAAACTGGATCCTCCTTTGCCTTTATGCTGAATGCTTTAAGACCGAGGGTGAATAAGGTGATGGCATTTCTGGGGATGGGGTGTTTTTTCTTTCCGCTAAAAGATTGGTGCTTTTCAGTATAAAAATCTTGGGTTTGATTCCCTAGAATTTTGTCAAACTTTAACTATTTTAGTTGAAATTTTCTTTACTGGTGTGTGCCACGTAAGAGAACTCTAGGGCCAGATGCATTCAGCATGATGCCTTGTCTCTAACATCAGCTAGTGATGGGCATTAGGAAGAACACATGAGGAACAAGGCAAATGTGTTGAGGTTACTCCCCAAGTATGGAAATGCCACACTTCTACCACTAAGGATACATGTCTGAAAATTGCTAATTTCAGTTCCCGGCTCCAAAGCACAGAAAAAATGAGTATTTCTCAGTAAAACAAATGTCAAAATTTATTTGTGTTTTCGGTGAGCAGAGAGTTTTATTCTTCCCTGATCTCATTCCCAGAAATGGTAAAATTTTCTGTCTTGAATAGTGATAGTCAATGCAAAGTAACTCCTGTCTGCTACTGTTACTTTTATTGTTAACATTGCTATTACTGTTGTTGTTAAAGTCGCTGTTGCTTAGAACTGCCAAATTTGCTCTTGTGCAAGTTTTTGCTACACATAAACACACAGACACACACAACACACAAACTGTGTTAACCCACATAGAGTTCTAAATTTTCTCCTTTTTACCAAAAGAAACATAAAGCCTTGGCTATAGAGCCATATGTGTGGATTAAAAATGCAACAAATATAAAAATAGGTAGACAAAACCTATTTTTACCAGTCTTCGTAGCAAGCAATGAGAGCTATTCTGTTCTCTTTTAAATTTATAATGAACATAACTTGTCCACAGTATATGAGCTGCCTTCTTGTTTTCGTTCACTCCTATTCATGTATGCTCCCCTAAGAAAGATTGTAACTGAGGTCAGAATAGAGACATGAAGTTCTCTTGGAGTTGTATAAATAGTGCACAGATTTGCTAATGCAATAGTAACTGCTTTTTTGCATCCTTGTTTGTCACTTTAGCCAGGCAAAATTCTTGCAGTGAATTTTTTTCATGAAATTTCTTGTGAACGTAAGACCTTACTGTGCTTAATAAATAACGCTGAGAGAATACTTCATACTGCAGCCAAAGCTTTCAATTTTGTGTTTGAAAACTTGCTCACAAACCCCCTTATTTAGACAATTAGGTAAGTGACCTTGTTTTCTAAAGTGTTGAGCACGCCACAGCTCCAGCTGAATGTAGTGTCAGTTTTTTCCATTAAAACCTGTTGACCTAAATCTTTTGCCTCTCTGAGGATGTTTGCTGTGCCCAGCATGACTCAGGGTGCAAAAGAATTGATTCCGGCTGAGATATTTCGGAAGTTAGCAGTTTACTCTGCTGGGTAACTGCTGGATTGTGTTAAGTGAGTTGATGTAGTCTGAGTCAAAGTGAGTTGTAGTCTGTGCAAAGTGAGTTGATGTAGTCTGAGTCATCAGTGGGGGTGGCTGGGACAATTTTGCCTGAGTTGAAGGGGACAAGAAGGGCTCAGGTGATCTGTTCATATAACTCAACTGTAGAGAGAGGTAAGACTTGGCAAATTCATTAGCTAAACTATCAGTCGCTTGTGTGAGCTTCTGGTTCTGCATCCGTAGATCTTGCAGTGGTACTAATAGCTCCAAGTTGCACAGTAGTCAATAAGAATCTGATGTGCATCATTCAATAAACTTTGGTTTGCTCTTCCTTTTCTGAAGAAAGCCAGTAGCTTATCTTCAAGAAGACGTCAAAGTAAATAAAACCAACATCTTGCATCTAGTACCCATAGAGCATATGGCCAACTATGAAATACTTCAAATGCAAGAAAAGTCCCTTCTACTTATATGTTAATCTGTCTGAGACTTGATTAAAGCAGAAGATCAGTGTATCTCTTCTGTCTTTAGCATAGTTACAGGTGACCTGGGTCATAGTTTGTTTTTAACTGGCTGGTGTAATGGGTCACATTCTCAACTGGTGCAAATCAGTATGCCTGGACCAGCATTGCTGATTTGGGCCTTCATGTAGAAAGAAATGTGGCCATCACTCAGTGGGGCATAGCAATTCCCCTAAGAGCACCCTTGTACCTTTCCTTGCAATTTGACTTTTGAATTGAGGATTGTGCTCTTTTAATCCAATTCAAGGTGATAGTTTCTTGGAGGACCAGGAAGAAGGTAAAAAACAGAGCAGTTTTAAGAAACAAAAAGTCAGTTTATCCATTGGATTTCCCTGTGTCCTTGACCATGTGTGCCTGCATGCCTTTGAGGTCCCAGACCATGGCCTTACCTTCTACACACCTGATTCCTACTCTGCCATCTGTGGACCAAGTAACAGAGGTCTCAGATACTCCCCTTTTCTCAAGGTATGTGCTAGCTTATGTCATTCTTGGTGTAATTCAGAATGCATCGCCTGAATGGCACAATCAATGCAAAAGGCTTATATCACTGCCAGAAAGTCAACCTCAGGATAACAGAAGGCTTGTTTGTGGTTCTAGCTACCTGCGATGCTTGCAATGTTTGAATCCTCCTCAGAGCCCAGGTTGTTGTCTCTGTCAGAGTCCTCAGAGCCACCTTCAAAGTCTGAACAAAACCCATGAGTTCAACCATATCCCTTCAGTTTCCTCAAGCAGACTTTTTGCATTAGGCTTTTGGCAAAAAAAATGGAGGAAAGAAAAAGGGCTGTGAGGGCCTGCAGATCTTCACAACAGCAGCTGCAGGGCCGTTAGATATGTGGTTACCTCGGAGAAAAGGTCTCTCCGGAGGAGGACCTCCTGCCTTCCTCAGAGGCATTACAGCAGAGCTTGTTACCCAGGGACTGAGTTGTCTCCTGCAACAAATAAAGCTCCCTGCCTGGAAGGACGGATCAATATACCAAGCCCAGCAAGGTAGTGGGTTGCTGTGAGTCCTGTCAGGGTTGAGGGAGTTCTTCTCTCTCTTGCCGGAGGAGACAGCAGGAGATGAAACCGACCAGTGTATTAAGGAAATGAGACTGAGAGGCTGCAGGGACCTGTCCCTTAAAGCATCGCCAAACAAGGGTTTCTCGTCCATCCTTCAATATTTTTACATAAGAAAGCCCCAGCACAAACATATCCAGTTTCAGGAAAGAGCGCTTCACCACAACTAAGTGCTCCTAGAAGTGCCAGGGGACAGAAGTGGATGAAACATCTGAGGTAGCTGCTTCTCATGGAGACTTAAACGTGACGATGAAGGCAGGCTTGCAGGCTGCCGTCTCCATATTTTAGCAGACTGCAGCAGCAACTGCAAGTATTGTGACTTAAAAATGCTTCCAGCTCATCCACCTCGGGCAAGTATTGATGGCCCCCTACAAGCAGCCACTTTTCTCTCTGCTTCTTGTGTTCAGATGGCTTGTCATGTGGATCAGTGCTGGCCTGCTTGGGTGGCGTAAAATGCCTCTCTTACCGTTGTGGTGTACTGCCCTCAGTAAGCAATGCACACAAATATTGCGTCTTCCGAATGTTAGCATCCCCTGTTTAATGTTGCTAACACGAATGTTGCTAGCAGGGCTTGGTAATGTGTGACTTTGCCATACGTTCTCCAAACATGTTTCTCAGCATGTTTCAGGTGTGGGAGGCTCTGGCTGTGTTTTCCACTGACAGGGAAGCTTCCCGCCAGTGTTCGTATGACACAGCTGGGCTGAGGAGGTGGCAGTAAGAAATGCTCCATCAAGCTCAGCATGGGCACTAAATAGGACATGGTTTCATTAATGGTGAAAGAAAAATTTGCTCCAGTTGTGCCAGATGCTGAGCTACACATCTGTCAGACGTGTTCTGTCTCCTGTTGTGACTAAGAAAGGTTAATTGCTCAGACAACCCAGCTGCACAACAGCAAACTGCCTCCATACCCTGAAAACGGTCCTGAAAGCTGCCTGGCTACAGGCCACTGTGTTCTGAGACATAGTGCAAAGGTTTTGACCTTAAAAATTTTACTTATGATACCTGTTTCCATGCCACACATCACTGGCTATCACAGAAATGCTGCATAACACATTCCCTCACATTAGCAAGATGAAACTGGGACATACTGCTGAGGCAAACAAGATATTTGCCAAAGAAAACTGGACCAAAATGGAAAAAATACAAAAGAAGAGCTAGTAAGTAGGAAATTGAAATACAGGCTCAACATTGAGGTTTACTGAGAGGAATGTTGAAGGGAAGACAGTTGGGCTGTTTTGTCTCTGGTCAAGTTTCTCTGGACTCTGAAACATTGAGCAGAGGTCCACCTGATCTAGGAGCACAGAACAGAGTAAAAACATTCCTAAGTTGCCTTTTCCTGAATCTCTTGTGAGGCTTTTTCTACTGTTGTTCAGCCTACCGGAGGATTCTTGGTGTGCCTTGAGGATTCAAGGCAAGACTTCTTCCCTGGCATTTGTGGCCCTTCTCCAGCTGTGGAGTTGAAACTTGTGCAGCTATATTAAACTGCAACACTATGAGGCTGAAAAGTGTTCTAAGAACTTGGAGAAGACAAAGATTGTTTATGTGTACAACTGAAGAGCAATTTGTTCACACCTGGGAAATTGTATACAGTTGTGGCTTGGGGGCTCAGCAGTGCACGAACAGATGGATGATGTCATTTGAATGAGGTCTCTGTACAAGTCCATGAAGCCTAAATGAAGGCTTTCTACGTTCTGCTTTTTTCCATCTGCGTTCTGCAAGGCATTAGCAGGGATGTAAGCATGGCAGCATGATCTTCCGTAGCCATCAGCCAGTTCAAAAAGTGGGTGCAAGAAGTCCTTGGCACTATGTCACTAGCAATAGTGTATCTCTGTAGGACCTGTATGGAAGAGCAACTTTTCTCATCTCTTCAGCAAAGCAACTGTTCCATCACAGAGCTCCCAGCAGTCATCCCTTGGGGGACTGGGTTTGCATGTGTGACTTCGAAGATTTCCTTGAAGTGGCAAGTGACGTTATTGGATGTACTTACCAGCAATTCAAGTGATACGAACAGGAACACGTCTTTTCAAAATTTAACTGCCTAGAAGCATAAGGAGTGAATAGTCACACTGACGCCTTCCAGAAGCAGAGCCATCTGCGTGATTTCTCCTGTTGCCACTGATCAGTTATTCACAGAGGAGAATGAGAGATTGAACAACTGGCTTCTTTGAGAAGAAACAAGCTTTTTTTCAGTCCTACTAGTAGACACCATCATTTTTCATTTTTTCCCAAAAGGAAACTTTTGCAAGTTGGTGTCTGATTGCAGCCTCTGCCCACTGAAGTGGAGTTTAAACTTGCTTCTTTGAGCACCTTTTTTCCCCTTATCTTGTCCATTCTTGGAGTTGAATGCTGTTAGAGGATCATCTGACTCCACATTATAACTTCTTGTTGCCTCTTGTGTTTTCCAGAGAGCACCAGCAAGATACCAGTATCAACAGAAGGAACAAAAACTTCTTCACGTAAGTTGAATTAACAGAGTCTTTCTATCTCTTTCTCTGTCTCTTCTTGAAACTGCTTCTGCAGCTCTGAAACTGCTTCCTCTTAGCAGAGAACAATTTGCTTGTGTCCAGGACCTCAGCACCTGCATATCACCTTGAATACTGGAGCTACTTCAGGGACTGAGAAATGAATGAAGAATGGTTAAGCATACTTTTTAGTATCCTGGAGCTGTGTTAAGGATGCTAACTTGGCCTGCAATTTTCAGCCTGCAGCAGCCAAAGTGAAAAAGTATTTGAGTTGATAGGAACTGTGTTTCAAAAAAGCACTTGTTGCTCCTGTTCCTGTAAATCCTAGCAGCTGCGTATGAATTTGCAGAGCGTATAGACATATTGATGTTTCCTCCAGAAAGTCTGTTGCCTAGACCGCTCTGTTCCTCGGGGCTCTACATACAATACCTGACAGCTCTGCAGGGTCTGTGAATGTAGACAGGTAACTCGCTGTCAGTAGTTAAACCACTTTTGAACCTGCCTTGGCATACTGGAAACCTTCTCCAAATTGTTTCCTTTCAGGCAGGTGGAATTTTGCTTTCAGCATCCCACCTGCAGTTACGGATCGAACGCCTCCAGAGTTACTCCTGGAACTGACCCCAGTGGGAAGTCGCTTCTGTAATTTTAACTATTAGAGTTACTTTATATATGACCACAATACAAGCAGTTGTCTCTACTACTGAGTTTGGCTGAGGGAGCTGTGGATAGGCATGTGTAAGCGGAGCATCCCAAGGATTTACGAGATGCACATATCCTGCTTGGCAAAGAGGCTGGGGTCCTGCTAGCTTTTTTGAGAAAACTATGTCTGGCAGAGACAGGTTTTAGTGTGAGATGACAGTGTTTGTAGGCTAGATCAAGGAAAACAGTGTGATTGCCAGATTTTGCATTTAGCATGCCTGCAGCCTTTCCTTTGATGCATCTGCGTGTGTGGCGACCTACTTCTGAAATCTTGGCACTGCTGCCTGACAGAAGAGCCATTGGATGTGCCCATATTCTTTCATGTTCTCAGTGGGGCCTGTCACTGGTGCTTCACTGGATATGTATGAGACCACATAGCTAATACCAAGTGTCCCGTAACCGTTGGAACCATTTTTGTTCAAAGGGAGTGACACAGTGGTCATCGACTCCACTGGGCTCGCCTTGCCTTCTCCCTTGTGCAGCAAGAATTCAGTCCCTGCACTTTGCTCCCTTCTTTCCCATGAACTAAACTTCTTGTTCTTGAGTTGCGTATGTCCTGTCCAGTGCCTGCTGTTGCAGTACTGTTCTTCTCTTTACTGCTGTTGTGCCACTGGAGAGGAGGAGGCTGGGATGTTCGAAAGTCTGGCCGAATTCCTGATGAATCGCTGCGCTGGCAGATTTCGTGCCAAGTGGCACATAATGCTGTTGTCCTGAAGGAAAGCAGAAAGCAATACATTCAGTGGCTACTTGTTGAGGTCTTCTCGTGGAGCTCTGAGTAGGTCTTTGCTATTTGACTGGAGCAGAGACCTGCTCAGTCCCAAACACAGCCAGGTGCCATTTTTCCCACTGTACTCACTCAACCCTGAGTCCAGACCGTGTCTGCTTTCTCTGCTACTGCAGGAATCTCCTGCTGATTGATAGCAGCAAACCCCTGCTGGGTTTAGGGGTGCTGCTGATTTTTGCCAGGCCTTGCAAATGCAAGTAAGTTATTAGTGTGTTGCTTATTTAATTGGAGATAGGCTATTGTGAGATGCTGGTGTTTAAATCATCAGGAGCTAGGTCTCCTAAGTATTGCTACAGTTACTTTCTGGTGATGGGACTTACAGAGCAGTCTTAGATTTTAGGTGTGGTTTTACTCAGCCTAAAAACTGACTTTATTAGGTGATGTTCATCTTCTTTGCCTGACAGGACAGGTTGTTGAATATTCCACTACAGAATATGTGGTGTGCCTGACCTGCTCCCTAGAATGCACAGGCTGGTTACTAGCCATCTTGACTTCCTTCATCCCTCTCCAAAGTGGCATGTCACCTTGCTGCCTTAGGCGAAGTGCTGTCTCTGCAAACTCTTTCTTCTGGCTGATAGTACTCCTCAAGCACACACCTGAATTCCGTATTCATGCATGACACTATATGTCTTGCTGGGCTCTAAGACAGTGAAAGCCCATGCAGCCACCTAAAAGCATGGCTCTGGTTTGCTGTGTGGTTTGGGTTCCTGCAGCTCAGGAGGTTCAGCCCTAGCTTCAGGCTAGTTTACTTCTTCCATTAACTTTTCTGAGTGCTTCCTTTGTGTGATTTGTGTTGAGGTCCATTTCCTTCAGCAGTCCTACAAGATCATTTGCCATCTTGAGAATGCTTCTTTTCCCTTTCTTTATAACCACTTTGGGGCTGATGCTATGTCTCATTCTGCTCTGGAGCATGTCCTGCTCTCCCTTCCAGCTACAGCTCTCTGCAGAGATGGTGGCACTCATGGACCCTGCTCCCTTTCAAGTGACAGAGGTCCTTAGCCGTAGTCGTGATAGACCTGGAGGCCTAACTGTCCATTTGGAGTTATGTCAGAAGAAGATAAGAAGCTAGTGTTCCCTGGCTCAGAGTGTGGAGCTTCAAGACCCACTGCTTTCCACTTTCTTCTGATGCTGTCACAAACAGCTGAAAACTTTGCGCTCTCTTTGCCAGTTTTCTCCTGGCTTTCCCTTGCAGAACTATGGAGCATTTTGCTGTAATTGATTATTCACAGTGTGCCTAGGACATGCTGTACTGACTTTGAAGTTCCTTGCTTTCTCGAGCTATCTTGTTTTTTCCTCTGCTTTGGCTGGTTTCTGATTACTGAAAAAAAAATTAAAGAAAAGAAATCTCTACTGGGGGAAGATGTTCAGGCTCCCCCAGTAAACAATGTAGTTGTGACTGTATTCTTTCAACTTTGTTGTTACTTCTGTGTGTTGCAGAACCCATGCTTAGGATACAAGCTTCAACAGAAGGAACAAACACTTCCTCCTGTAAGTATATACAAGTTGTTTAAATTATTGCTGGCAAGACCCTCAGGTACATTCCTCACTCCCTAGCTCAGAGAAAAAAAAGTGTGCTTCTATCTAAACCTACCATAAGCAGTCAGGGGTGACTTGGTAGGATCCCTGCACTACAGATGCAGTTGTTATTTGTTACATATTCCGTAACTCTCAGAGCCATGTCCTTTGCAAATTGAGGGCTAAACACCTTCCTTTAGGAAGGTCAAAGCGCATGTTTGGGCAGGGCAAAGGAAGAGGAAACTGCTTCAGAGTTTCCTACCTAGAATTCCCAGCCCTGCCCTGCTCAGGCAATGTATGGTTTCAAACACTGCCTCCTCTGCCTTCACAGCCCCTGGCCCTAGGGTAAGTGGAACATCCTCAGGTTCACCCATCCTTAGCTGCAGTGCATTTCCCTTCATCCCTGTGCCAGCTGATGCATGTTAGAGCTTCTCAGGCTCTTTCTTCTGTGCCTCACTGCTTTTGCGAAGAGGACGAGGAAAGCGAGGATATCTTTTTGTGGTCTTCCCTCAGCTGGGACAGAGAACCAGAAATGGTTCCCCTTCCTGAGTAAGAGAGGTTGTCTCTCTGCTCGTCTCAGGAGTACACTGGGAGCTGTAGGGGTGCAGAAGGTGACTCTCTTCTTCTTCTGAAGCAATGCCTCCCAGGGAAGCATGCTTTACAGCCATGACGCTGTGCGCTTTCATCCTTGAAAACCATCAGGTAGAGCCTTGCAGCTCTTTACTAGACCTGGATCCACCATCTACACAGCCTGATTTTGAGCAGTCTGGAAAGGCATTTCACACAGTCAAAGTCAGCAGGTTTGCAGGAAGTAGGGTATTGACCTTCTCCTAAAGCAGTCTAAGTTTTGCTGGCTGCCAGGAACTGGATGGCAGGTGAGATAGACCAGTGGTCCACTCCTCCTCGGCAGTTCCAGTGTTGCTATAAAATATGGTGTTTGCTCTATAGTGAGCTACACATAGATGACCTTAACTCACATCTAATAGCTACTGTAGCGGCACAATGGGAAATGGTCAAAGCCGAATCTCTGGACACAGTATTCTGAACGTTTTTTGTAATTTACGTGAGATAGAAAAGATTTATGTTTGTGGATTTTCTTCTCAGCTATTAGACTAATTAGTGTTTTAAGTGTGTGTTGAAGGAATTTTAGAAATCTGATAGGTTATTTAAAAAGACCAAAAAGCTTTCTGCCAGCAAGCTGTTAAGAGTTAATGTTTTTGGCCTTCTTTTTCCTCTGATGCATAGCAGCAGGGTAGGCAGGAATAATTCCTGGAGCAATTTAAAACAGTAATTTCTTTCTGTTCTGTTCTCAGTTGCATCCATGTAAATTGGGAGTAGTACTGTTTAAGTCACTAGAATAAGTAATGGAGAAGAGAGAGCAGTATTGGATATTGCTGTCTATGCTGTGTAGGAAAGGTACTACAAAGCAGGAGGGAGCTGATGTGTATTGCTAACAGATGTGAGTGTCTACTCACACTACAGAGTGATGAGGGAATTGAGTCCACATACTTATTCTAAAGTTGCTTAGGGTTTTTCTTTTCTGAATTTCAGTGGGACATGTCCATTTCACACTTGTCACTGTCAATCTTGTAACAGCTACAGGAGAGAAAATAAACTGTTTCCTTCCACTTCTCAGACAATAGCAGATGTTTCAGAGAACTTGCCAGCACTGTCATTGTTGGCCAGACGCTGGGAAAGACCTGAGAACAGCAGAGTGATTCAGTAGTCTCTCTCCCCAGGGCTTTCACAAGTGAATAGATATGTGTCATGCTTTGCTTTTCTGGAGTTCCAGTGACAGACAGATATTCAGAGAGCTCAAAGTTTAAAAAAAAATCCCATCTCTGTAAGACACTCCACAATGGACATCCCAGAACTTAATGTTCCTCTACCCTTTTATGCGCACATGAACTTACACTTCTCAAAATCCAGCCCCTTTTGAGAGTGTGGGTCTTCATTCTTAAGTAAAGGAGAAGGTAAAGACTGTGATGTATTTCCA